CCTTACCTTTCTCCTGGAGCAATTAATGGATTCAAATTGCTGACCTTTAGGTTAGCAGCCGAGTGCTTTAGCCACTGTGCCACCATGTTTCTTAAAACGTATATGTTGTTAAGTGTCACTGAGTCATTTCCAACTCATAGTGACCCTGTATAGGTTTTCTGAGGAGCTTCTGGTGGGTTATGAGGTCAGTGCTTATCCTACAACACCACACTAGGACTCCAAATTTATATAGTCAGGAGTAACTAATTAAGAGACTCCTGGTGTGTAGGACAAGCATTGGATTGCTAACTACAAGTTTAACAGCTTCAAACCCAACAGCCACTCCTTGGAAACCTTATTCAGGGTCACTATGAGTCACAGGTAACTCAAAGACACTTAACAACATCTAATTAAGAATCAGATGTTGCACTTTAAATAAACTGTGTTTACATTAAAGGTTTCTTCTTGGTTATGTATTAATGTAGATTCATCAAACTCAGGTATCACATGTTAAAATATCGTAGTGGTTATGAATCGGGCTGCAAGCCTCAAAGTCAGTAGTTTGAAACTACCAGCTGTTCCGTGGGAGAAAGATGAGGCTTTCTGCTCCTGTAAAGATTTACAGCCTCAGAAACCCTATATGGGTCGGTTTGAGTCGGAACCGACTCTACCACCATCATTAGGAACCACCACCCCCATCATTCAGAACCACCACCCCCATCATTAGGAAGTAACAAGGATGGCCATAAATAAGGATGGCCACACCACAGATAGGAGCCTAACCAAAACAGGAACTTATGGACATCATTTGTCAATGTTGGAAGACAATTTCTGAAGGTTTTCTCACATGTCTGCACATCTGGTGAATGAAGCACACTGCCTTTTGTTCTGGATTATCTTTTTAAAAAATGTTTGTTCAGCAAACAGTTTTGTAAGAAAGAAATCACATCTCCCTTAGAAACAAAGATTTGCTTTCTGTAAATTCAAGGCCCCTTTTTTATAATGTGTAAATAATTTCTGGCTTGCTTCATGAGGATTGGGGCTCTGTGAACCAGTGCAAAATTGCTGAAACTGTGCCAACTTCTATTGCTCTGAATAATAATTTGTCCTTCATCTCTGACCCAGGAGTCTCATGTCTTCTACCGTCGTCGATGAACCTTGTGGCAGGCTTACAAATTAGATTGAAAACAGTGTTAAGGCACAAACCCTTCACAGTTTTGAATAACTTTTGAGATGAAGACAGGATGCTGACAGAGTGTTCTGGAAGAAGAAAGATGTGGGTCTCACAGGACCATTAATTGAATCTCAGATAAATCTATAAGAATCAGTAAGCATGTCAATCAGGTTAAGTGGTGGATTGGGCAATAATAAATGGTCCTGCACTTTTTTGACTGTTAATGAGGAATTGAGAGATAGTTGCAGATTAAGTGTTACAAAATAGGTAAAAGACAGATACCTGACTCCATCCTGGTTGTTTTCAACTCTCCTCCACATTGAAATAATTTTTTGTTAATCTGGCAGCCAGGCTCAGGTCTGAACATTATAACAAGCAGTATGAGGAGTTTTACTGTTAAGGGACAAAGTCCCAGGTTCTTTTAGACAATAGTTGAGAGATGTACACTTACATTATGTGTGAAAAGGGGAAGTCAATGACTGTATGGCGAAACCTGGTGAAACACTGGAATGTTCACTGGTTGATCTGAAAAAAGGATCATGTAGTACGTAGCTTATATATAGAATATTGGCAAAGAGTGAGTCATTTTATGGCTATACCTCTAACACATTCTAGCATGCCAATCTTAGATCCTTCCTGTATTCACAAGATGCTGAATTACTTGGTTTTTTAATATTGTAATTTTAATGGAGTGTGCTTTCCTTCTTTCAAGATTTTGTTTTTAAATACATCTAAAATTTTATTTAGTTAGTCAATTTGTTTGTACAGAACAGTCTGTCTGAACTCACCAGATTTTACAGACTATAATAAGTGAACTAGTTTCTAAGAAAAAAAAAGTTGCAACCTAAATTGGGTTAAAAAGTTTTCCTATATACGAAAGTAATATAATTTATATTTAGTTACCTCAACTTGAAGGAGCTCTGGTCGTGTAGTCGTTATGAATCAGGCTGCTAACCTCAAGGTCAGCAGTTCTAAACTACCAATTGTTCACAGGAAAAAGATGAGACTTTCTGCTCCTGTAAATATTTACAGCCTTTGGAAATCCTGTACAGGGTCGCTATGAGTCAGAATGACTCCACAGTACATAAACACCACCACCACTTGAGTAAAGAAGGAAGAAAGTATTCCTAGGTTTTGTGTTTCCCCTCTATTTTTCTCTCTGCTCTTGCCTGCTTTCTCATTCACAGCCCTTTCTTTCTTCAGCACACATACAAACAAAAATATCCCACAGAGAACATTCAACTTATAGCAAATTTGTTGGTGAAATTATCTACATAATTTCCACATTTTTAATTTCTCTTTGCTATTATAAACACTTACTTTAGACCCATCCTCTAGGTGGCATATAATTATAAGCATTATTAAGATAGAACCTCTTGGTATTCAAAGACATGCCACTCAAATATTGGTGTTTCCTGTCTCCTTTTATGTTAAACTGTTTTACATAGCCAAAAACGACAATGAGCTTACTAAGAAATCTTAATATAAATTCCTGTCATAAATTATAACAGATTATTTGCATTCTCAGAGACAAATCTAAAGCCATTTTAATATAACACATATTACAAACATACCTTGCATGAAAAAGGATGCTGAGACTTTTCTGACATTTCTTAGATTGTAATATCAATTTCAATTTTGTTATAACGTATTATGGGCAATAACTGATCAAAGTCAGCTTTATTCCTTGCTTTCCCTTTTGTTCAAACAGGATGTAGCTTTTATAATACCTATTTATACTACACATACTAAGCGCTCTACTATTGCTCAATGGGTAAGTGCATAATTTACCTACTGTCCACCTGGTGGTATGGCATATGTATTTGTTGCAATTCTAAGTTTAAATACTTAGTTTTGAATGTTCTGCTTAGCCAAGCACTAAATTTAACTAAAATTTCCAAATTTAGAAAGCCAACAATAAAGTCATTACTCATAGCCCTTACTGACTTTATATGCGACGGTCTACATTTACTGAAAACCAGTCCTGATCAGTAGATCATTGCTGTATTTCTTCCTCTATCTACATCAGAGAAATAAAGGATCAAATGTTTGCATAAAAACAAAAGGAGGAAAAAAAAAACAAAACTCCATCCTGATTTTGTGGAAGGAGAGATTATAAAGCAATCCTCAATAAACAAATTCCCTACATAATTGTTCAACTTACCTCTCCTGTTGGGTCTGTAGGCAGAAATTTGCTCACTTCAAGGTGAGAAAGCATTCATCTTCTCTCACCATCAACTTCCACAGTAAGAATGCCAATTTAATTCTTACCCTGCACCGCCCCCCAGTATATTTTAAATAACAATACCAGGACATTTATATTCACTCCTTACTTAAATGAAGTACCATTTAAAGTTTCTAACATTTATTTTTGAATACTTTTACCTGTATGGCTCAAAACACAAGCCCTATGAGTACAGGTCCTATAGCGTGTCATACTAAAATTAATTTACTTTAAGTTAAAAAATAAATCGTAAATTGTGTGGGTTAATTTTGTTTTTAGTATCTCAAGACACAAGGAGTGAAAAATTTTGTATTAAAAATTCTGTCTTCTGTGGCTCACTCATTCATTTCCTCATCCCCTTGACCATATTCATTAATTGAACAGAACTCTATTTTCTCTCAAACCAACTAGAAATACTAAAGTGGTTAAGCATAGCTTCAGAAGAAAGGATTGCTGCACTACGAAAACTTATACATAAAGGACTGTCTAGATGCTAAGTTGCTACACAGCACAACAAGCAACGTGATAGTACAGGAGTCTCTTGGTACAACGTTTTCTGATCCTCCTATATCCCTCTCTTAGACGCTAAACCTAAGGAAAAATAAAGGCTTTGACTTATTGCAATTTCAAAGATTTTAAAGGGCGAGTTTTGTGATACTCTCCTCTCCTTCAAGAAAAAGCTTCTTCTTATCCTCAAGAGTTACTGAGCTTTTGATAGTGTTGTTGCCAAAGGAGGCTCACCGCCCAGTCAGGTGCTTGGTTCTCAACCAGGTACTAAGGCAGATTCTGAAGAAACAGGTAAAATAGGGGCGTTCTCAGTACTCTGCTAAAACGCCTCTAAATGAATAGAAAGAATCTTAGCAATGCAAATAGTTGCGCGCTTTAAAACAATAACAAAAAGTTTAGTAGCAAAAGGTTTGGTTTTCCTGGTTCTTTCTTTCATGCTTGGTCATAAACTAAAAAGCTCAGGTGCAAAGAAACACACAAAGTAACTGTACACGAGCCAGTATCACCGCGTGTCTGTGCCAATTTCCTGACGTGACTGTCAGAAAACCAACGTGTCGAGAGAATGAGGTCAGAATTCTCTGGGAGGTCCATTTGCTTCTGGAAGGAATACGGCGGGACAGTGGGGCACGCGAGCCAGGAGGAAAGGTGGGTCAGGTGTAGACTTTGTGTTGGAGGCTTTGTCAGCTGAAGATCGGGTGAAGGAAGGCAGAGATGGGGCGTTTGTGGGCTGGTAGAAGGGAGAAATCAGAAGGAAGAGACGCGGGGATGGTGAGGACAGAGACAACCTTGTATGGGGGGGACAACCTTGTATCGCAGGGACGGGAGGTTTGAGGCTATTCACTGCTGCTGCTAGTGTGGGGGCCTGGGAACTGAAAGGTGAGGTGGAACAGAAAGCTGCATGCAACTGTCCATGGGAAGGAGAGGGGTTCAGGTTACCAGCAGGTGGAGTTGAAATCAAACATCCCCTCGGAGACTGTGGAGCAGCGCCCTCCCCGAGACCCTCTGCCAGAAGGTTGAGGAATCAAAGCAGGTGGTCTGGGGTGCTCCGGGAGCAAAAGATACCCTCTCCGCGCCAAATCTTGGCGCTCGACGCCCTGCGCTCCCCTGGCTACTCACCGGTCTGCGGGGGAAGCGCCATTCGGGGCGCGCGCGAGCGTTGCGCGGCGCAGGCGGTAGCAGGGCCGGGTGGCGGTGGCGGCGCTGTCCTAGGAGCGGGACTGGAGCCGAGGGACGCCGAGGCGGCTACAGCAGCGGTGGGGGCGCAGGGAGCTGCGGGCAGGGAGGTCGGTGGATCTGAAACTGCTTCGCCGCGCGCGCTCTCTGCCCATCTCCGGCGCCGCTGAAGCGGCTATTGCTCTGCTGCCGCTGAAAGGGAAGGAGGCGAGGGGGAGGGGAGGAGGCACGCGGTCGGGAGGGAGGGAAGAGAAGACAGGGCGGGGGTGAGCTAGGGGAGAGAGGGAGATGATCACCCAGAGTTGGGAGGGGGAGCCAGGCGCTCACGAGCCCAGCAAAGGTTCCCACCAGAAATGCTTAGGGAGAGGATCTCGTAGACGCTCTGGGTCTCTCCCCTGAGCCCCCACCCCCGCCCACCTCTTGTCTCCTGCTAACCCTTTTGCACTCATTCCTTGGGCTCTTCCTCCCTCTGCTCAGGCTGGGGATTACCCAGGCTCGGCAGCGGTCACGGTTCGGCACACTGAAGGGAGTGCTGAGCCCTGGAGGCGGCGACGGCTGCTGCTCTCCTCGCCACCGGCCTGTGGCACCTGTGCGCGCACACATCGCCGCCTGCTCCATTGCGGCGGCTCCCGGACCGGGATCCGTGGGCTACCGCCCCCGCTCACGTTCTCAGCAGATTACAATCATACTTGCACATCCATGACATCTGTGTAAAAGCGCCCCCCTCACATTGCTGTCTGCTTTCCTGGGCGCTCTTTGGCACCAGCTGTCCAGCCAGAAGGCGCCAGCAGGGAACTCAATTCAGGCAACCTTCTCCTGCCCCTTGGAGATGCCGCCCGGGTTAGTTAGTCTGGTAGACCAGTTCACGGGGTAGAAAAGAAAAGAAAAGACCGTTTAACTCCATGTCTTGGACCATCGTCTCGAGATTGAGGAAGGTTTTAAGTGTAAAGAACACAGTCCCTTCCCTTCAGTCTTGGTCCCCTCCTCCCTGAAAAACCAGGGCACGATTTAGCGCATTTAATCGAAATATTTCCCTATCTTTATATTGCAGAGCTTTTCACTTTTCCCTGCATTCTCCTAGGGTTGGTCCCGCTTTGCTATAGTGATTTTCAACCAATCCTGTATATGCACAAACTACAGATACTGTATTTAGCGCTCGCATACTCACGAGATTGAGAGCGTGAATCCACACATTCGGGAAATAAAAAACAAGCGGGACATTATGGACTGATTTCCATGGGCCCTTGTTTTTTGTTGTTTTTCTGTTCATAATCTTCACGTAATACTTAGGGTTAGATAGATAGCAAATAAATTGTGTGTAAAAGATATGCGTAGAAGAACAAGTCTAATAAAACTCCCCTCAAATAACATAACACAAAGTAATTGAATTACTCCCTGTGAGCGCCTTGAGGGAAAAAGGTTCTGTGTTTCCTTGAGTATCTTTGTTTGCAATTTTAAATATTAAAGTAGTCATTCAGTTAGTTAGGAATCCTTTTGTAACCCCACGGGGTTTTTACCTTTAGAATAAGTAAATCAGACATTTTATTTTGCATAAGTATTATATAACAAATGTCTCATTAAAGTAAGTGAACTCTCAATTGTAAAAGCAATGTAGATGAACGTTTGTAATGCAGTTAAGATGTTGCTAGGTGTCTTGGAGTCAGTTGGAACTCGTGATTCTATGTACAACACACACACACACACACACACACACACACACACACGAGGATGGCCTGTGCTGTCCTCATAATTATAGCTATGTGTGAGCTCATTGCTGCAGCCACTGTGTCCATCTCTTTTCTTGGGGTCGTCCTCTTTTTGACTGAGCCTTTACTTTACCAAGCATGATGCCTGCAATAAGAATGAAAATGGAATGAAATGTACCCAAATATTGATGAAAAGCCTCTATTTCTTTTGGTATGCATTCACAGGCGGGAAAAACGTTGATAAAGTATTGCTTATTAATCGGGATTCTAGGAGTGTGATGTGTAAGAATCAATTTGATGATAAGCGGTTGAATTTTTCTGTTCAATATATCTGCAAATGAAAAGATTTGATTTCACATACACCTGATGACTGAGAAAAACACCTTCTTGTCTCAGGACCAACAGATCTCAAACTCTTCAACAACACTTCAGTTTTAAAAGGCATGCATTATGTAAAAGGCATGCATATATAGTCTTAGGATGTCCAGCATTGTACCATGAAAATTCACCAACTGTATTCTTCAAAGAGCCATATA